CACTGTGCCATATTACTATTTAAATTTTTTGTCTACATTTCAAACTTTAAGCCTAAAATGTCTGCAAAAACATGCTGATGCAAAAACCACGTTTTGAACCCACAATTTAAGCTAAAAATCCGAAACAAAAACAAAAAATTTAGATAGCAAAAACGTAAAGTTTCTAGCCAAAAATATTTGACAAGAATCCATGTACTCAGCACTCTGTTTTAACTTAAAAAAAAATAAATAAATAAAATACAGAATTGCACAATCTATGCAGTGAAGGTATCTATGAACAATGCACACCTCACTTAAATAAATTAACATAGCAATAAATTTCAAAATACCGTGTACACAGCATTCTGTTTAAAACTGAAACATCTGCAAATTGTACAATCTGTGCAGTGCAGGAATCTACGAACTATGCACACCTTGCTTAAATAAATTAATAGCAATAAATATCAAACAAGACCTTGTACACAGTGTTATGTTTAAATTAAAAGGAAAAAAAAAAAAAAAAAAAAATCTACAAATTACACAATTTAGGCATTGCACACTGATCAACAAAATAAACTAAAATAAATTACAAACAATTCAAAAAACAACAATAACGATAGAAATTCATACTAAAAAAACAATTAACAGAACATTCTACAAAATTAGAACAACAATAGAATAAAATGCACTTACCATGAATAAATTTTTCTTCGAACAGCAGAAATATTAATTTCAAACATCACCAAAACAATTTCACCACAAATTGGTTGAAAGGATATTCTCCCGTTTAGGAACAGTGATGGAAAAACATATAAATCACTAAATAAAACTCAAAATCACATTTGCAGTTATAATAGGCAACATAGCTTTAACATGTCGTTTATGTGATCTCTATCATATTTATATGACAGCCAGACACACTATCCACAAAATTGATACTATGATTCACTAATAAATGCTCAAAACCTTTTTCTCCTAAATCCTTGTAGAATTTCCATCCACCCGAAAAAATAGTTGTACCAGGCACACGACTAAAATTTTGCCAACACGTCTTTCATTGCATCATAAACCATTTCTAACCACCCACCACACAAACCAACCAGCAACTAAAACCACTACAGTAAAATCGAAGTTTCCACAAAAGGGCTGCCATTGAAACCAACATTGCCCTAAAACCATCGCAGAACACACAATCGCACCAAAAACCAGTGCAGACCACATATCGCCACATTTGGCGACATGAGGGCATGTGTAAGAGTAGTACCGCTATTTATTATCACAAAGAATTTATTAAACATGAGCTAAAATGAATGGATATACTAGACAGGAGACATAAATTTACAAATATTCGCTAGTATGGCATAAAATATTTTGGCCTTCAAGTGTAGGCGACGCAACATGAATTCTTTTAAGTAGGAGTCAAAGAGTTGATGGGCAATGCCTTTTTGGCATATATTCCGCCAATTAGTGCTGCCCCTGAAATGTGTGATAGATTAGGTATGAGAACCTATGACTGGGTCAATAAAATTAAATGATTCACTGTGAAGTAATCGTGCCCTACAACTTTCAGCTCAAAATGATTTGTAACAATCAACAAATTGCATCTGTTAAAGTCTTAGCTGAGTGATCAGAAATAGTGACTAAGAAGCACTTTTCCGTTTCTCGATACAAACCTCCAAAAACCCACTGTAGAGAAAATATGCGACTTATGTTATGTTTCCTTTTTTGTGAACAATTTTTCATTGTTTTCAACCATTTCATCAGTACCCCTGATCTTTTGGGCAAATATTTGACTTTCATGGGATGCTTATTTGAACACAGTCTTTCTTTATGGATAAGACCTTTTATTTTAAAAGAGTTATAATTGCCCCTTGTTTGTTGCTTGGTAAATCCCAAAGTTTAAAATCCATTACAGTAAAATACAAAATTTGAACACACAAACCAACAAATTTGAAAGCAATGAATTGCACAGAAGAAGCAAACCAGGAAATGGTTTGATTTCCAGGTGTAGATGAATAGTTAAATAAATTTTAATTAATTAAATTTCAAATAATAAGCATAGTATTCTTTTCTGTTATGTACCTGCCATGCTTTGGTTGATGATCTATTGGCCGTAATCTTCCAAACTACGCATGTGTCATCTATAAACTGTTATTATAACTAGAACATGCTTACAACTAAAAAACCTTAAAAAATGCTTGATGGGGGCATAACGGAAAAGTTTTGAGTTTATTATGCTTTTTAATCGTATCTTAAGTAAATGCTATAGTTAGAAAGTTAATACATTATAGTTTACATTAATGGAAGGATCTAGAAGGTAGTTCACAATATTCCTAAACATGAATTGTGCATTATAAATAGAATGAATAGATCACTGAAACATGATTGCGTATATACAGTAGTTTGTTGTATTTCAGAGAATTATACACCATGTCCATAAGTCTTTCTATATACTTCTGTATCTGTCTTATAAGGTATTTCTCCTGCTTTCCTAGCATGCCTTCGTGGTGTAGTGGTTCTGCATGCTGGGCCGGTATTCCAGAGGTCCGTGGTTCGATTCCCGGCAAAGGCGGTTGCTAATTTTTCATCTCTCCGGCTTTTCCAATTAACTAATGTCTCTACAGCTGCGCCCGAACTAAAAGAGTTGTGGATGAGGATTCTCCACACCCAGGATTTGGTGATTGGGTCCCCTAAAAACCCCAGTCGTCCTTTAAAAAGGGGAATATATAAAGTATTTCTCCCGCTTTCCTAGCATGCCTTTATGGTGCAGTGGTTCTGCACGCTGGGCCGCTATTCCAGAGGTCCATGGTTCGATTCCCGACGAAGGCGGTTGCTAATTTTTCATCTCTCCGGCTTTACCAATTAACCTAATATCTCTACAATCTATAGCCAATGATTGTAGATGTACATAAAATACTAATTATGGATATAGTGTTAAGAAGCAGATCTGTTTCTTAGTAATAATACGTTTAAAATTTGTTAATATTTAGAAATATATTTATATGGTACATTTCTGTTATCGGGAATGGATTTAGAAATGTATGTATGTGTGTATGCACACATATGTGCATGTATATACATATGAAAATACGTGCATTCACACATACATACAGTTCTAAATCCGGTCCCCTGATACCGAAAAGTACTATTTATATTTAATGTATTGTATGAAATGCTATAGAGATCCAATGCTTTGATCTAGATCAAAGCATTGGGTGGATATTTAGTATATTCATCAGGGTACATTCATCGTTTAGGACATTCATACGTGGTGCAAATACATTTTTTATATATGTACACTCATGTCCATAAATTAAGGATAATGCAAAATCAGGCAAAGGAAGAGTTAGAAGCAAAACGAATTTGACTTATTTGTAAAGCTTATTCATTAAACAAAAGGTAAAGAGCCAAAAAAGATGCTATATGTTTGATAATATTAAAAAAATTAGCAATTTTTTCTCCCTAGAGCAAATTACAAAAAAAAAAAAAAAAAAAAAAAACAAAATACCAATATTACATGGTTGGTATGATTGTTAATACATTGCATGTCTCCCAGACGATGCAATACAGTCCGTACAACGCCTAGGCATGCGGAGTATCAAATTATCGATCTGATCTTGGGGAATATACACCACTCAAAAAGCAATGCTCTCCGAAGTTCCAGTAGACATGTAGGAGGAGGTTGACGGGCTGTAATTCGTCGGCCAAGCATGTCCCACATGTGCTCTACTGGATTCAAGTCCGGTGAGAATGCTGGCCAGTCCATACGGGTGATATCCTCCGATTGAAGGCATTCGCTTACGATGTTTGCACGGTGAAGATGGACGTTGTCATCCATAAACACAAATTGTGCACCCATGGCGCCCCGAAACAAATGTACATGTTGTTCCAGAATGACATCCCAATAGATTTGGCTTGGCATGGTTCCAATTTGAACATGCATTCGCTTACGATGTTTGCATGGTGAAGACGGATGTTGTCATCCATAAACACAAATTGTGCGCCCATGGCGCCCCAAAACAAACATACATGTTGTTCCAGAATGACGTCCCGATAGATTTGGCTTGTCATGGTTCCAATTTGAATATGCAGGCCAGTTCTGGAACCCAGAATAATTCCACCCCAAACGAGTACTCCTACACCACTGTAACGGTGTCGTTCAATGATGTTTTCTTGGTGGTAACGGGTACCTGGAGCTCTCCAAGGGAAAGTCCGGCGAGAATCAGACTGCAAGCTAAACCTGGACTTGTCGGAAAACATCACACAAGCCCACTGTTGCGGTGTCCACAATGCATGCTCTCTACTCCAGGCTAACCACAGGCGACAGTGAGTTGCAGTAAGTGTAACGCATCTGACAGGTCTATGAGTATATAAACCAATCTGCCTTAAGCGTCTGTACACGGTCTGCCTTGAAATCCTCGTACCAGTGGCAGAAGAGAGCTGACGAGACAGGTCTGAGGCTGTGCTTCGCCTGTTTCTTTTGGCAGTAACTGCCAAATACCGGTCCTCATTCGGTGTTGTAACTCTGGGGTGACCTGTGCTGTAACGTCTACTCACATTACCATCATCTTGGAATCGTTGCCAAAGCCTGGAGATGACACTCTGGGCAATTCCAAGTTCGTCTGATACTTCCAGTTGGGTACGCCCACATTCCAGACGGCCGATAATTCTACCACGTAAAAAATCATCCAAATGCGTTCTTTGTGTCATAACTATTCGGTTATTGCACTGAAATGCTTATAAAGCACCTGCAAACAATTTTACTTCTTTGCCCGTATTCCTTATATATCACTCTCTTACACTGTCGTCATTGTGACGTACCATCGGTGTCATCTAGTTACTTCCTGAAATTTGCATATGATTCTTGAAGATGTGTGTAGTCATTTTACAGGTGATATATTTATTTTAGAGTTCGATTTCCGTGTGACTCTGAATTATCCTTAATTTATGGACATGAGTGTAATTTAGTTCAACCAATTTATTTGAATTAATTTAGTTGTTAATTTCCCACTTTTTTTCAGATCGTTTCGGCTGGGTAATTTACATATTAGTATTGGAGATTTTGTGTTAGTAAGAAATGATGCTTCAATTGATCCTGAAGATTTTTCTAATTCCTTTGTGGCTCAGGTCAAAGAATTATTTGATACAGGTACTTTCTGCAAATATTTTATTCAGTTTTTTAATTTAGTACTTTCTGATTATCTGCGCTTCTACTAAAAGGCTGCAAAAAAGTACTGATGAGGGAACACATCATATTGCCGAAAAGTATTTATGTGGCAAACCAGGATGTCACCAAAAAGGTCGTTATATTTTGGTTGGTGCGGTTTGAAATTCAGTTTCATATTGTTTGGATGCTTTGCTCTGCAGCAAAACTAGGGTTTTTTCTTTTGCTATTTACTTCTGTTTTGAGAATATTAATTATTTTCAAGGACTTTCAGTTATAAGGTATTTTTCCCACCTTCTTAGCATGTCTTCATGGTGTAGTGGTCAGCACACTCGGCGCGTATTCGAGAGGTCCATAGTTCGAGTCCTGGCAAAAGCATTGCACATTTTTCATGGCTTCTGCTTTGAAATAACCTAATGTTTCACTTCACAGTTTTTTCCTGAATTGCATTTTCTGTTGATCTGTAGAACAGTATCTGGAGATACTAATTTAATCAGAGAGATCAGATGGAGTACATCAGAGAACTGTAAGTTTCTGAATTTACCCCTAGTGCTTCTAAATTGTGAACTTCTGTTTAGCAGGTACCTAATAAATCTCTTTCAGTAGAAAAACATTCATTGATTTCCTAACAGGTTTAGATTCAGCAACTTATTTGAATGAGAATTAACGACTTAAGTTCTCTGCCAAATTTGTCCTAAAATTGTTTTCTATTGCTGTTTAGTAATTTTTGTTTGAGAGTGTAATTCACTTTATTGCATTTCTGGCTGCTCCAGTTAAATATAAGTTTATTAAATTTATCTATATTAGATAAATCTCCATTTCGGTTGTTGTTGTCGAGTTCATATTACATGGAGCAATTGTTGTCAGAGCCTACTCTGAAGAGAGGTTGGACTTTTATTTTTCACACCCAATTTTGAGGGAGAGCATCCCGGGAGTATCCGGGGGTTTCCCACCCCTCTCCACATCCACCAATCCATACGAGAGGACTTTCGGCTTGCTGCATATTTAGAGTGCCTCAATGCCGTTCCGACACTATACATTTACAAGCATCCGTGTCTGCTCCGGGATTCGAACCTGAACCCTTCGGTACTGTAGTAGGCTCCATTTTAGTGTGTTGGAGATTTAAACTGGTTCCAGAATCTTTGCCAACAGTTTTTCTAATTTTAAAAACTTGTAGGTTGTTGCATTCTTTGTGTATCTCTTTTTCATTTACCAGTATCAGCTTTCAATTTACATATGAAGTTAATCAGTTTTTCTTGATACTACATTTAATGATTTTGGTTTTGATTTCCTTAATATCTCTAATTTGATTCTGAAATTTAGAGTCTCAACTTTGAATTGTTTAAATTTCAAATTTGTTTGTTCTAGCACTTCTTTCAACTCTTCTTCTTCTATATAACTTTCTAAGATTTTTATTTCAATTTTAGATATTAATCTTGTTGTAAGAGACCTCAGTACCTTTGCTCTCAAACCTCTTTGCTGTAAGACCTCTTTGCCTTTGCTAATTCCATTTTGAAATCAAGATCTACTTTCAAATTGTTATCTTTTTTTTTAGCTAACTTTTTCTTTCATATTGTGACTATCTCACTTATATGACAGTATCATCAGAACAAGCCCATGAAATTCATCAGGGCGAGGAGAGCAAAATTGTGCCTATCATTAGCAAAAGCACTATACAGGTGGCAGTACAACTTTGCTCAATTCCACCCCCAGTTTTGATGGTGAGCACCTCAGGAGTGCGGGCCCAAAAGGTTTCCACCCCTCTTTCCCTCGAGAAGTTCCCAACATCCGAGAGGACTTTCGGATTGACATATATTTAGAATGCTCCCATGCCACAAAGACACTATGCATTTAAAAACATCCATGCTTTCTCTGGGATTCGAGCCCAACCCCTTCAGTACCGCAGTAGGCTCCTCTAACCACTGCACCGTCTGGGTGGCAGAAGTACAGTAAAGAAGATGAGTTAGAAGCATAGAAAATTTATTTCTTATCAGTAAAGAATTGTATTAAGGTATTAGAGCTTATCTTGTCACAGATATTTAGGAAAATTGAAAACTTGACACTTGTCAAATGCCTGCGTATAATTTTTGAAGCTTGTTTCGCAGCTATCTTTTTCATTAAGACTATTTGAAAAATATCCAAGAAATTTATGTTTCTTTTTTATTATCAGTTTTGTCTTTTATCTCTACATTTAATAAAAGAAGGAGTCTGTCTGTGTGTCTTTCGTTCGCATTCCACGTAAGCTAATAGACCCACGGCTACGAAATTTGGTACATAAGTGCATCTAGACAAGAGCCAGTGCAGCTCGAAGCAATTTTTTCGAAATTCGAATTTGAATTTTTTTTATTTTATGTTTTGTGACGAAATTGCGTCATTTTGAGACATAATGGGCTAATTTAACGTTTGTTGTTCCCTTCAGGCATTTTCCATTACTTTAAAAGCCAGACGAAGGCTGGCAGCATAGCTGCTAGTATATAATAAAGGAGGCAGTATTTCAGGAGTAATTAAATCGATATTGAATGCCAGAAATGCATGGTAGTTCACAAGTCTTCTCGTATCTGTGCCATATAATAAACTGACTATATTCTCAGTTTGCAGAAGCAAAGCCCCTCTAAGTCATTACCAATGAACTTTTTAGAGATTTTCTCAATACCTGGGTTGCCACATGAATACATTTTTTTTTTTTTTTTGGATATTATGCGTTGCCTGTTTTAGCTGTATAGTGAATTGCCTTGTGAATACATTTCAGGGAGTGTGAGTAATTAGAAAAAATTGAAAGTACTATCATCTATATCAGTGGTTCTCAACCTTTTGACCAACGCTTATCACCTAAACAAAAATTGAAAACCATTAGTACCACCACTTCAATTAACAATGATTATTTTTCAATTTTTAAATAGAAGTATTAAAAAAAATTGAAAGCCATCAGATTTTATATTAGCCCAAAGGGGTGGTTTTTTAACATTTTGTGTGTTACCTTTATTTACTAAATATTATGTTTTCGCACTTAAACCATTATTTACTAAATATTATGTTTTCGCACTTAAACCATAAAATTAAATTCAACAGCAATATCACAAAATATTTAAAAGAGCATATGTTTAAAATTTTTATTTTTGATAAACAGTCTCAAGTACTTGAGATTAAAATGTTTTTTTCCCTTACATTGTTGCCATTGCTTGCTTTGAAGTAATTGAATTTGCTTATGAAAAATTCGTTAAAGGTTTGCAAAATTTTAAGTAGATAATAAATCAAAATCAAAATTCGGCTTTTAAGTGGCCATGTTTGGTTGGAAGACTATGTTATTCAAAATTTGATGGCTCTAGGTACCATTGTTTATTCACAATGCGAGAAACATTCATGCAGATTCTTCATTATTTAGTTTCTTTAAATATAATACATGGAGATAATATTTGGTGGCAACAGAAAAGTAAATCGATGTAAAATGCCATTTTGAAATTGATAGCCCTGCTGGGCTAATGCCCCTTGGGCTAAAAGTATTTTTGCAATTTATGCAACCTATTGCCTATTTTAATTAAATATGCACACATAAAATATTAGATTGAGATGGTTAATCATCAAAATTTTAATACTTTAATTCTAAAATTTAGTGTGAAATTTGGGCCTGTTTAAGAAAAATCAATTTCTTTACGTCTGGTCTTATTTCACTTAGTTTTAAGCGTAAATTAGAACCCACATTTTATTTTGTTCTGTATTTATTTTTTCAATATGACATGGAAGAAAATCCTTGTTCACACATGTAGGTTGTGCAAAACGACAATAAAAATTTAATAGCTGTATTTGAACTGCCTCTAAATTATTTTTTTAACTTAAGCCAAAAGTTAACAAGTTTGTTACTTCTGAAATCTTCAGTTAGAATTCGATCCTTGGAAATTTCTATCAATTTTTTTTTTTCTTCACGAGATAAAATTTCAGGTATATTTGAACAAAATGGATTTCTAATCCAAATTTCGTTTTCATAATCCTCAGGAAAATACATATTGAAATTATTCATGAATGAAAAACAATGATTTTTAATGTCGGACGCTAATTCTTCTATTTTCAAATTATTTTTGGTTAAAAAACTTTCTAAAAGTTACGAAAAGCTTAAAATATTATTATTCAATTCTTTGTTCGAGTTTTTTTATCACTGCCTTTATTGTGTCTGTAACTGTAACAAATTAACATTTTGCTCTTGTAATCCTAAATTTAATACATTTAATTTTCCCAAAATATCAGCTATATATGCTAAACGCTCTAACCATAATTCACTAAATAATCATTTTTGCAATTCAAAATTTGAATCACAGAGGAAAATTTTAAGTTTTTGATGAAGTTCAAAAAGACCATTTAAAACTTTGTGTCCGTATTACTTTGAAATGTAACAAAAGCGTTTCATGTTCACTGCCTGTCTCTTGGCATAAAACATAAATATTCTTGAATTTAAAGCTCGGCTTTTAATAAAAGTAACAATTTTCGCAGCTTGATTTAAAATTATTTTCAGGCTCTCAGGGATTGTTTTGCCTACTAAAGTTTTATGATGTATGGAGCAGTGAGCAAATTCAATTAAATTTGTGACTTTCTATAATTGAGCAATCACTGCAGAATGTTTTCCTGTTAAAGCCCGAGCCCTGTTACTGCATACAGCAATGCACATATTCCAAGGAATATCATTCTTAGACTGAAAATTTCACTTGCAAAGCTCTATCATGAAGAGATTCACAAAATAAATATTCTTCAGTAATTCGTTTATCTTCTTCGAAACGTTTGTAAACTAATAATTGAACAAAGTTCGTTATATCAGTACTTTCATCCCATTTGGATGAAAGTACTAATATTGCAATATGAAATATACTTACTGTGTTTTATTTTTTGAATAAGTGTCTCTTTTATGGAATCTGCCATTTCATGAATTCGTCGACTTGCTGTATCATTTGATAAACAGATTATTATTAAATTCATTAACCGCTTTTTCGTTGAATAAT